TACAATTGATCCTAGGATAACAGAGATTTTAGAAAGTGACGACAATTTACTAGAAAATGAAATAACCTTCCAACAAGATGGTGCGCCCCCGCACTATGCTGCTGCTGTGCGACAATTTTTGGATGACCATTTCCCGGGGCATTGGATTGGCAGAAGAGGTCCCGTCGAATGGCCACCAAGATCTCCGGATCTGTCCCCTTTGGACTTTTTTCTGTGGGGTCATTTAAAATCACGAGTGTACGCCACTCAGCCGGAAACATTGCAAGTGCTACGTCAGAGAATTGTAGAAGAATGCCGATTAATAACTGCGGATGTCTTTAATAATGTTCGAACAGAATTTGAAAACAGACTGTATTATTGTTTGGAAGTTAACGGGGGTCATTTTGAGCAATTCATCAAATAAATCTGATTTATTATTTGCTTCAGCTTTTTTATTTCATTTCTGACTTTTTTGTAAACTGATAGACACATCAATAACAATTAGGTAATGCGGTCATGTGTAGTAGATGAAAAACTTATTAGTGGTGGGCATTTGTGTAGAAATTACTACGCGTAAGTTGGTTTGTCATCTTTTCGTTTGTAACCAATAATTCTGTCAAATCTCAACCGATTTCTAAAAACGGTACGTCACTGTATTCGCAATGAAAAGGGCTTTAAAATGATGTGCCACAAGTGGGGTAGTTGCATTTGAAATTTTTAAGTTGGGGTTGCTAGGCATTAGGGGGATGAACATATCGAGTTGGCTTGACTGTCAAAAAAGCTCCCCCCAAGAACAAAAATCGACGGGTCTCGGCGAATTTTGAAATATTATTCGGTTTTCCAATTATAGGGGGGGTCAAATTTTCGTTGGGATACCCTGTATTGTATGCAGCATTTGTGCGTTTAAAACTTGAATTAGATAAAGTACAACGGAGATTTTTAAAGACTATTTATTTTATTAGTTACGGATTTAATTTTAAAAGTTTCTGTCGTAGGCGAATTATGTTTTCAATTATATTCCTTTTTTAAATCATAAATAACACTTTAAATGCAGACTCCTTAGTCTCAACGATTTTATATCATGTTCCTAGAATTAATTCTAGATTTCACTCTGTTTTACAATTATCCACACCTCGTACCAATTTACTAATAGCATCTCCCCTATATCAAATGATATCCAATTCCCAAAAGTGTGAAGATCGACTTGATATATTTTTTCATTCTATGAATTATATAAAAAATTGTTATCTTGTATATGTTAGTTAGCTTATTTGTTTTATTTGTCTGTTACTGTTTATACTTAAGTTCTTTGTCTGGATTTTATATTTTGATTGCTCTATTTTATGTAGTATTTATATTTTTATATTTAATGTTAATTTGTTTTTTTTTTGAAAAGTTATAATTTTTTTTAATTATAATTTTTTACGGTTTAGGTCTATTTTTTTATAAATGCTAAAGCGCAATGCCCTTTATATAATAAAATATGATTACTTGATATTAAATAAACGTATTTCTT